TTTAGAGTAAAATATCGCTTCCATCTTTCCTCTAACTTTTGGTCAGTAGTGAGAAGTTTATTGTTACTGTCTCGAATTGCACTTTGGGAATTCCTTTTGTCTCCCTTTTATTAGTTTCTGATAAAAAAAAATATTGAAAAAGTGACAATATGTCCTTTTTGAGCTGCCTCTTGATCCTCCATAGCCAGATCTGTGAATTTTTTTTGTCATTTCTGGCAGACTTTATTACATCCTTGTCTATTGCTCTCCAGTGCTGCGTATGCAAATTATGTCATCTTTCAGACTTTGTAGTTTCCATTCGAATTTTCTTTTTTCTTCGGCTTTCGTCGAGTGTTTTCAGTTCTCCTGTAAGCCATTCTTTGATTTTCTTATTGTTCTTTTCATTCAATGCTTTACACTTTATCTGCTACTTAATTGCAAATATTTTTGAAATGTTCACATGTATATTCTACATTGTTTTGGCTTGGCTCTTCTTCTAGTAGTTGAATTCTGTTTTGCATTTCAGTAGAAAATACTTACCTGCATTCTTCACTTTTAGTTTGGCAAAGTCGCAGCTTATTCTTTTTGGCTCTTTCTTTTTTATTGCTTTTTTCAATTTCAATTTTAAGGATGCTACAAATAAATAATGATTTGAATCAATAACACCTCTCATAACTCTTATATCTCAAAGTAAGCTCATAAACTTGTTTTTAATTGTGATTTGAACAATTTGATATTTGTTTTTTCCTTTTGGTGAAATCCATGTATATTTATGAGCATCTTTATCTCTAAACTTGCTGCCACCAATGTTTAAATTATTTAATTCACACACAGAAACAAAAGTTTTTCATTTTCATTTCTTTCAAGTGATTCGTTTCCAATAGAACTTTCATCATCATCCCGACTTAAGCTTTAAGATCTCCAAACAAAACTTACTATATCGTGTTTTGGTCCTTTGTTTAAAACACTTGGTAGTTGTTCGTAAAAAAAGTTTCATTCTCTCACCATTTGATGGCGCATATATTTGAATGACAGATAGTTTAATAGAGAAAAATCGTGCTCGTGTTATACTGTCATTGACTGGCTCACTTTTTAAAATGCTATTTGCTGTTTCGTTATTGACAATGAGCGCAATCCTCTCCTCCTGATGGTCTGATCACTTCTGGTTCTTCCAAAACCTGTCCAACTCTAAAATGTCTATATAAGATGTCAAGTCAATATCTATTCATTTCTATTGACATCTGCCTGCTCTTTCCACATTGGTACATCGTTCTAAGAATCCAGGTACCAGATCGTAGCCTGTGTTTAGGCGCCATCATCCATATCGGAGGTTCCAAGTGGATTTCTTTTCGACTCTTCATTGGTGTGATTTCCTCACTCCAGATTTAATAACTGTCATTTAATAATTCATAAGTCAGCAAAGAAAATTTATTTTGATATTCTTCAAGTTTCTGTAGTCGGCTTAAAAATTGAAAATTAATACAGCTACCAAAAAGTTCTAAAAAAAAGTATTACATTATAGTCTTCTTTTTAAAAACATAAGCAACTTCCCTAACTATAATATAAGTTATAGCTAAGCGAAGTTGCTTGCTGCAAAGATGGGACCAGAGGGAGCTTGCGTACAACGAAGTATGCTCGCTTAAATTTTTGAAATTTGTTCAATAGCTTGTATTTGCAAGCATACATTTGTATGCATAGCATATTGTACAAATACATAGCTTGTAGATACGTATTTGTAGAATAGACTCAGGAGATAGAGCATTCACCTCATTTTAAGGTGATCCAGGTTCGAATCACAGAGGTGTTTGGTTGATAAGAATTCTGCTCCCGGCTCGCACCGACGTAAAATATCCTCAGATGTAGACCGATAATGGATTAGAATTCTCTTCCCTTCGGACTAATGGTCGTGGGCTTCCTCCCCATTTTCGCAAATGAAGGTTAGTTCCATCAAAAAGTCCTCCACGATGGCTAGTTTGTCCCAATATTTTATCCAAGAGCTCTATTGTCTTCCTGTTTGGGTTCAAAATTATAAGGCTACAGACTTGAACATTGGTAGTCTTTTACTCAGAATTTTTTTGGCTGTTTAACCGCGGCTATAAAATGAAATAGTACTTCAGTGTGTACTTGAATGAACAAGTTGATTGTTGTCAGCATCAAGGTTAAAACACAACTGTTTCGTTTATTTTTTATTTTATTTTTTGTTAAAAGTGCGTGAATCTTCATATCTCCTCTTAATTTTTTTTTTATAGAATGCCAGTAACATAAGACATTTAAATTATAATTTGTCATAAGCTACAGTCATTGGAAGATTTGGGTCCCTGTAAGCAATTTCCCTTTTGTTTTTTGTCATACCTCGGAAAATTTGTCCCTAATCAAAAAACTTTCGAACAGAAATATAAAATTCATTTAACGTTATTCGATAATTCAATATATAAAATAATCTTTAATTATTATTTTATTTAGTAACGGTCGAATGCTTCTGGAACTGTAAAGTATAAAAATTTGTAAATTCATTTTAAACTGTGTAATTTGAAGAAAAGTATACCCTGAAATAACCCATATTGAGCTAGGAGGGTCATGAAAGTTAACGCTCCCAAATTTCGTGACCATCGGTTGCGTACCGACTGCATTTACTTCCAAAACAAGTTGGTACTCATTGACCAAGATGGGTGGGCTTCAAGACGCCGCAGGGGATCAAACCCAATTTTTTCACATTAACTGTTAAGTGCCCTAACCACTACGCCTTCGCGGCTAACACTACGTAACAGAAGTACTGTTTTTTACAAGTTCTAAGCGGCTCGATCCTACTCTACAACCCCAGTAATTGCTTTTCATTCATTATTGTTATAAATACGATGTTATTTTACTCGTTGACGAAACTTATAACAATTCAATTAGAAATCACTAATCAAAGTTTATTTTTTAAAAAAAAAAATTATTATAAGAGTGAAAATTTATATCTGGCAACACGTAATCTCTTTCTTTTTGTGCTACTTTTGATGGACATGCGAGAGTTCATAAAATAAAGACCTCGAGAGGGAAAATAAAATTTCTATAACAATGAACAAATGGTCAATATTTAGAGCAAGAACACTAAAAAAAATATCACGGAAAAAAAACTAAATTTGCAATAGCTTTAGAACAAATTGTAATTTCGAAACAAAATTTGAGTTAAGTTCACAAATAAAAATGGCACTTTTAGCACGTCAAATTTTAACTCAGTATTTTCATTTCAGCGGGTTGCAGATAGACCAAACATGGTATATTTTTGTATACCCATGGTATATTCAAACATGGTACAAGTTAAACAATTAATAATTCTCGACGTAATTGTCGAATCACATTTTTTTTTATTTTGTCGTATTCCCTGCACTTTTTTCTTCATACCCACATAATTTCAAGCTTCAAAGTCTAACAGAAATTGTGAAGCAAATCAAAATGTAACGTAGAGAGAAAAAATTGGCAAAAAAAGCACTTAAAATTTTAATAACTTCTGAATAAATTGGAATTTCAACAAAAAGAAAAATGTGAAGTCCAAATAAATGTGGACCTTCCAACATACTAAATTTTCAACTTGGAAGTTTCATTCCAGCGGCCCTTTAATGTTTTTACCTGTATAGAGTAACAGCTATCAAACAGCTAACTATCAAGTGTTTAATTTTTTTAATGACATTGAACAGCCTGTACAGTTTCACACACTTTTGTAGTTTCAAGTTTCTAAGTTAACGTTAGGTTGAACATACAAAAAAAAAAAAANAAAAAAAAAAAAAAAAAACACAGCGGCGGTGAGCCGTACAATTTTTAATTTACGATTAGAGAGTTGAAATTAAAGGGGGGGGATGAAAAATAATTGTGTAGCAATAATTAAGCCTTTCAGGAGCACGATCACATCTACATGACCACCTGATTCTCCTCTCATGACCCACGGTATCATAATGTACAACGAGCCTATCTTACTCTAGCGGCCTAAGATCATAGAAACTATTTTAATATGGTACACTCTTATTGGTATGCACGCGCACTCTTTAGAACGTATGAATTGGGCAATTTTCTCTTCTTACGCTAAAAGGGTTAAAATTGGCAAGAAGAGAAAAAGCCCCTAAAGTTAAAGGCTTTGTTCTTTATATAGCTAGGTGTTGTTCTAAATACTTTCCCCTCCGAAAATTTAAGAAAAGAGCTACGAATTGAATGCCTTGAAATAGGAAATTTTTAATGTTTAATTCTATGAAATATCTTGCTGAAAGAATTTATCTCGACTTGAAGACGACCCAAAAACTAAATAAGTAAATAAATATAAAAAAAAAGAAATCGCCAGTTCAGCTATGCTTCCACCAAAATACAGAGTACAGCGTTGTAGTAATTTTCCAAACATAAAAAATTTAGATCCACTAACATTTAATTTTTATAAAACTGTGATTTTCATAATTAGAATAAAGATCGATGGCCGAAGATGGGCGGCAATCAACAAACTTGTAAAAATAAAATATTATTTGCTGAAGATTACTATTTCATATGACGACACCCTTCAAAGGAAAGCACGGTAACGAATTTAAGAGCTTTGGGAACAGACCTGTGGGGAATATAGTTATAGACTATGTCAACCTTCATCTATCAAAAGGTTGACATAGTCGATAACTATAATCCCCACATTGGTGACCCGGACGTTATATGAACTTGTCAATAATGATGGATAGTCCACAAATCAACTGTTTTATTGTGGACCATTCATCCTTTTTGGCAAGTTCATATCACGTTCGCAGGTCACCATTGTGGGGATTATAAATAGACTATTATTAAATCCCCAAAATGGTGACCCGGAAGTGATCAGAACTTGACAATACCATTGAGGGGATTTAATATCGACCATGTTAACCTTCATATATCAAAAGGTACCTCAAGATAGATTCAAGTTAATATGTCTTATATACTAGTGAATTGGTAATTAAATTTATAGTGGTAGTTCCACCACCGACCATGCAATAGCTATATGTGTATTAACTTTGGAAAATGAGACATAAATACATTTTTGTAAAACTCTTTTATAATAAAACAATTTTTTTACAGAAAAATAAAACCAAACGAGCTTGGCACCACTCTCAAGAGAAATATACAATAAAATCCTCTAAACAACTAAGATGCATATTTCAATCACAGTCAATGATTATATAAACAATGAATCATGATAAATGTACAATATGAAAATAAATTCAAAAACCAGGAACGTTATCCAATAGCAAAATGACTTAAATCTATAAATACTTCCATCTCTCACAAAAATAACTACAGTTCTTTATGTACAGAAATAAACTTCAGATTGAAGTAACGAATAAGTCGAAGTTCGTAAATACGCACCATTTTTACACATCTTATTCTTAAAAGTCAGACTTAGTTCTTAAAATTCAGTTTTTTCATGTCACTTTGTTTCCAGCAAAAGCTCTTTAGTTTACCCGCATTTCATATTGCGCCGTTTGTGAATAATAAATTTTGGTTCACTCACAAATAGTACATTATATCTTGAGTAATGAAAGACATTTTACAACAAATAATACTATTTTCAAAAAAGAACAATAAACAATTATAAACATCATTTTTACATGTCAACGATGTGAATTAATATATTTTTCTTACTTTCAAAACATTTCATACATCAACAAAAATAAAGAGTCATGGTAATTTTGAGCACGTTTTTTTTTTTTGTATGAATTCCACAAGTTTTTAATTTTTATAAAATTTTTGAAATCCAAAATATCTACTTGAAAAAAAAATAGTTTGAAATTTGATTCGATTTAAGCCAGTTTCTCTCCCAGTTTACAAGTTGTATATTTTTAATATCAAAGACTGAAATAAGCGAATGTCGACAATATCCGGAAAATATTATTACATATAATTACTTTAATGAATATCGATAAGCATATAGGTACTATAGTGAAATTCGCTATGCATATAATCTCTTGAGTCAACGTTACCATTTTTCATCTAATATAAGCTCACATAGTTACATGAATGAATGTAAACTCGGTAAATATCGATATGAAATTGTCACTTTAGTGACTATAGACATTATGCAATGAATATCACACCTAATCGCTTAAGTAATTGTTTGATAACATTTATTAAATTTCAAAATTTCTCTCTTCGGAATTTCGGACATTCATTGGAGATAGTCGACATTCACTGAACTTTCATAATAATATATTCAACTTTTCAAACTGCTAAAATACAGCATTAGTAATCAAATGTAACTCAACTTACAATTTGTTGTCATGAAACAATTTAATACCATGCTTTAATATATCAAAATTATTACGAATTCGAAAGAATTCATTTAATTAATTCAAATTCGAAATGAAACCAAAATACTTTGAAGATGATAATGAGAAATCTACCAGAAAATGTTCCGTTTATAAAACTGTTTCATCATAATTCAATAACCTATTGAGATTTATAATAACATTACTTTGTTAATTGTATAAAATTTAAAAGAAAACATCCAAAATGTTTTTATCAATAAGTACAAATTCTTAGTTCACCTGTATTGTGTGTCAAGTGAACACAGATTTAAATAACAAATACAAATATGTTTCGCTTCGTAGTTCGAAGTAGAAATAGTTTGATGTATAATTCAAACTATCTCTGATTAAATATCAGATCTCTCGCCACTCCTTAAAAATGTTTTATTTAAATAGCGTTTATTGAATAAGAAGTTTAATTATTTTCTAAGAGAGTTCACAAAAATGTTCTTTGAATTTCAGATGTAGATTGGTCAAAGATCTTTCCTGTTACAAAAAAATTACATAATTGCTTTCATAGAGTTCTTAAATTTTTTAAACGCAGTTAAAAACGCAAATTAAAATAAATCAAATTAAAAACTTCTGGGTGCATATGAACTATTTTATAATAAATTAAAAGCAACTTTAACATCATTGAAAAAAGAACAAAAATAGAATAAGACAATTCAAAATCATAGCTAATAGTTTAAATTTTTAAAAACAATTTTGCAGGTGATGGAGTGGAGATGTCAAATATATGTATGGCACATCATTACTTTAACATTTATTTAATTACATCATAATTTATTCTTCAAGCAAAAAAAATGTATACATACATACTAATATAAGTAAAATAACATTCAATCCATTAAAGTTCTAAAAAAATTTAAAAGTGGTCTTTGTAATAGCATTCAACTCAATCCATCCGATAAATTTTAAAAATAACATAATTCATAGAATAAAGTTGTTTATTAATATATTACTGTGAAATTGTTTGTTCGTAAAGTTTGCATTGAAAGAAAAAAAAAGAAAATTTCGCGCTTTAATGATGCAATAAAAATATTTGAATCTTTCAATAACTTCAGCAGCATTGAAAAGAAAAAAGAATTTTATCACATCTCAGGACGGTTTTCAATTATCTATAAATATGGAGATTGTATAATACAACATACATTAATGTAATTTAGTTATCAAATTTCACAGCAACATTAAGTAAATATGTTAAACTTTGAAAAAATCGCAACATGATCCACAGCATTGCTAAGCTTGAGACACACTATATAAGTTCACTATATCAAACTTAAACGTGATATGTTGAATAGTTTGTTTTTCCGTGCTCGAAAAAAACACTGGAACACAGAAACCCGACAATCAATGAAACTCAATCCCATTGAAGAAACCAGCACTTCAATTAAATTGGCTATTATTGGGAGCACTGCACTTGTATTATGGCAACCAGAAAGAATTCTGAAAAGAAAAAATTCAACATAAATTAAAATGTAGTGTCTCGGCATTCATAAATAAACACGAAATAACCTAGTGAAAACAACACTTTGTAGAACAAAAATCGCTTGATTAGAATTTGAAATAAAGACGGGAACAGAATCGTTTGCCATCCATAGTTGATTGCTTCGAACAAATTGACAACTCACCATATTACTGTAGGCCAGTGTTTAACACGTTCATTGTTTACCGTGTGCAGGCGTTTATACTATATCTATAATTGAAAAGTGGTAATCTATAAAGATAAAATCGAAGCTAAATTTTCTTAGTTTAGCAACCGCTTTAATTTTTGAATTTTACAATAAATTTATTTTAATAAACAATATGTTATTGTCATAAGTCATAAGAACACATATTTTCTTTAAAAATAGCTGGATGATAATGAACATATAGCCACCACTTAATCTGCTTTATTTGCACAAAACTTTTTGTAATTTGATATCGCGTGATGCAACTATCGTCTTTATCTGTATTTTAAGTTTCCTTTTTTATTCTTCTGATGCTTACATAATCTCTCGTTGCTTACATTATCTGGACTTAATACAACTCTGTTATGTGACATATGTAAGGGAAATCACTGTAATCGTATAAAAAGTTTATGTAAGTTTTGTTCAGAAAAAAGCTATTTTGACGTAATTTTCAAGATCAAGGGGAATATATATTTTTATTTTCGGTAGAAAAAATCGCCAATACTTCCGCCAAACACACAATTTGTTTCGCCGAATTTACAATTTTATCGCATTTGGCGAGGTGGTGAAGGCTTAGCGTTTGCCCTGCTTACGCGATATAAGGACAAATCATTATAAATGTTGGCAATTCGTTCGAAGATATAAATTTGTCCCATTATTGTATTGCAATTACCATCAGTTTCATGTTTACTATTATCATTAACTATTTTTTTTTTAATTTATATTTTTATTTCTCTAAGTAAAATAATAACTTTACTTTATTAATACAAAATTATGTATTGAATATAAGCTTTAAGTATAAAGAAAAATTCATTCATTTTGTAACTCTTTTAAAGACAAACTTTTGATTAAATTTTTAACTAATTTGAAAATAACTTCTCAAAATTGTAACTTGTCCATGTTTTGCTCTTTAAATGACGAAGTTTTTGAGTACCCTCTACCTATTGAAATTCATCTCGTTTAATCTCAATCTTACACTACTAGAATCTACTTGGCACTGTTTTTCTTTTAATTTAACTAGTTTAATAGCCAGTTTAATGAATCAGGCCTAAATCAGGAATTAAATTTCAGTAAAAAGTTTCCAGAAACTATAAGTCGGCTATAATAGACTAAAAATACAAAGTGGTTGGCAAGATTTTATCAAAGCTGACGCAAACTTGTTGCTATAACTACTTTTTCGATTTAAAAAATGTTTTTCAACATGTAATTCCAGTACACGCTTTAAATATTTATAGTTGTGGTAATACCGTACAAGATTTTTCTTTGAATAACAGAATTTTGTCAGCACTTTTTAAACTGTAGTATGATCACAAAAATGATACAAATATTTTAAATTCTCAAAAATTTATTTTTTTTATAAAGATCATAAAAGAGTAAAAAAATAATTTAAAAGTAAAAAGCACAGAATGCGAGTGTTGAAGATTCGCGATCGCAACGAACTATAGGGGGCGTTGTTGTATGAGACGCTTACCTGCGATTTCCATATGAACCGTCATTCAGTTACTCTGGAGACGTCGTTAATGTAGCGTGTAGCATTGCAACGTTCCTTCTTTAATGTGGCTTATTAAATTTAAAAAAGAAAAATGCTTGATCTTCTTTCTTGTACAACCGAAAACAAAATGGTATCTCTTTTTATTAGAGAAGGAATATCCAAAACACATCGGAAAAATATTTGTACATTAACAGAAAAAAATATGTATATTCTTATAAGAGTTAAAACCTAATGC